TTAGACTAAAACAACATCTTTGGTTAGTTTTCAATAGGATGTTGATCTTCTAGTTAACATCAAATGGTACAGTTTTGGGGATCAGGTCCACTTCCATGTCTTCACCACCCAGCCCTTTCTAGCGAAGTCGGACAACATTGCTAGGGCCAAGCTTTATTGGTGCAAATACCTTGCTTTGCTAGATGAGCAACATTTATCCATTGATGCCTGCCAAGCCACTACTCTCACAGTTTATCTCGAGTAATTCCCATGAGTTTGGGTTCATGGACTTGTGTTTATTTGCAATAAAAGCAAGATACAAATGAGTATATATTCAAATATTTAAGTGTAAAATGCATGGACATTTGCAACGAAGAAGGGTACTCCCTTGTGTATTAAAAGAGATGATGTGGATGAATGTTTGTTGCGCCCTTTCATATGCTAGCCATGGTGAGTGCTTGTATAATGCTGCTGTATAGGCTGGTATCGTGCTAAGATAAAGAATGAGCTATATGGATGTGTGTTATGATATCGTTGTCCCAAGCCAAGCATCGTTGGTCGGCGATACCTACTAACATATAAAACATAGAAGAAATATGTCATGACTCAGGATGGTTGGCGATTAGTAATTTTGTCCCTTTGTGTGAAAGAATAATGATGCGCATGGTCGCCAGCCATGTAAGTGTTGCAAGGTCAATCATGAATAGCTTCCCCATAGCTAGAGGAGCAACAGTGGCTAACTTTGCTCATGGCTGGAGCGTGAACTATGTGGAATTGAAAGAAAACTCCCACTAATCTACCAAGTCACGAAGGGGTAAATCTCACCAAGCCAGACTCCGTCATAGCGATGAATATGTGATAGAGAGAGATGGAGTTGTCTTCATGGAAGGGGGACACTAGCCACATCCATGGCCTCCAATACGACAACGTGTGATACCATTGACAAACGCTGGCCTTTCTTATTGTACCCGCACTGTTAGAGGGTGGTCCTAGTTGTTGCTTGCTAGGCATCATACCACCATGCATAGGCGACCACTAAGGGATCGCTAGCTACTACTTGATGGATTTTTAATTCTTGGAGGGTGGCCATCTCATCCAATCGTAGTGTTGCAACTATTGCCGGCCTCACGCTGATCATACCGAGTTGCACCGACTCTTTGTTCGTTGTCGGAAGCCAGTAAAATAAAATATGTAGAAATCCGACACTTTGTCCATTGTCAAGAGCCAGTGTAATGAGATAGCAAATTAGGCTCTTTGTCCATCGTTGTGAGCTATATAGATATAGGCCGTTGTCCATTGATGGGAACTAAAACATGTAGCAAGACATATCGCTACGAAGAACATGACCGTTAAAAACGCCTAGCCATGTTGTAAAGATAGATATAGCCATGTCTGGCCAAGTATATATAAATAGATGCAAGAACAAGTTACATATGCAATATTTCCAATGAAGTTGATGAATGCCATTCTTGGTGATGTTGACTTTGTTGCAGTAATCAGCAAAAAATAGAAATTGCATGTTTGATGTGGAAAATAGATCATCTAGGTCCTTGTTGATGTGGAGTCACATACGTTATTATTTTCAAAGCCATACAAATTCATCCCTCAACACTCTCTAATTTTTCTTCTTCTTCTAATTGATTTTTTCTTTATTTTACGATAAATTATTAACACAACTTACCTCTATATGAATTACTATTCATGAATCCTATTTGAGGTGATGAACCAATTAAGATCTAAGTTGAGGTAAAATTTAAAGGTAAGATTTTGAGACAATCTAGTCTTTCAATTTCTTGTTTTCTAATTTGAATATTCTATGGTGCTATAATGTCACGCCCCAGAACCCAAATCCGGGGACGCGACAGACGCCGTGCACTCGTGAGACGGGTCCCACAAGTGCACAAGACTCGGAACTTATTCAAATCACAATTTGATACCACAAAATTTCAAGATAAAATTTAACCATCTGCTCTGATATCATAAAATCTCCAAATACACTCTAGCTTGCAAGAGCATGATTTATTTCTAAATCTATACCAATCTCAAAATGGCTACCCTTCTAACTCGTCACTCCCCTCGTTTCCCCGTCCTCGGTATCGCTTCCTGAAATGGTGGACAAGGAAAACTATGAGATAAAATATCTCAGTAAGTAAATATGGATAGCCCTTGGGTAAAACTTTTAAGCACGCCAGATAAACAGTTTAATATAACCAAAACGCTCAGTGACAAAATCAGATTCAGTTTAATTGCAAAGCATTCAATGACAACTCGCCAATGCAAAATCAGATTCAGTTCAATAACAAAACGTTTCATGACAAACCGTCAATGCAGAAGAAAACTCAGTTCAGTAGTCTCATCTATAAGTCATGGCCAGAGTTTATAAACCTCCCACTGGCGGGCACAGTAGTTGCCAATGTTTAACCCCATAGGCATGGTTACAAAAGTGCCAGTGTTTAACAACTCCCATTGGCAGGCGTCAGTAATGGTGCCAGTGTTTACAACTCCCACTGGCAGGCGGCAGTAATTGTGCCAGTGTTTACAACTGCCACTGGCAGGTGACAGTAATTACCAATGTTTAACCCCATTGGTAGGGTGAACCGGTTCTATCAGTAAACATGTTGACATGTGCTAGCGTTTATAAACCTCCCACTAGCAGGCACAGTAATCAGTAATCATGACTATATCCGAGACAAAACCATGCAGAGTTTACAGAAAACCCGAATTTCACAATCAATCCCAAATTTTAGAACAAATCGGAAAATTTCCATGTGGGCATGGATTTATCAGAAAACTCAAAATTTGTAAATTCTCAGTTCATCAAAACAGTTCAGTCAATTCCAAATAGGCATGCTCTACTCAATACCAATGAAAACAGTTTCATTTCAAACCAATCATGCTCGGTGCAATAACTCCA